CTTTTTTTACGTCAAAAATATGCAGACTGGTAACGTTCTTATACCGTGTTTTAATATTAAGTCAAGGTTATAATGAAATGTGGGTATATTCTACATTCATTTATCAAATTACAACATGTCATTAATAAAACAGATGGTTCATATCTCTATAAATACAACTTCTACATGATTTTTCGTCATTTTGCACAATACTTACAAGTAAGTCAAAAGCGATAATGCAGTTTCTGCATTGACAATCTTCAATAATATTCCTTACAGTGGCATACATACATATATTATTTTGTATTTCTGTATATGATGGACAAATCTGATGTGCATGAATAAGAATATGATCAACATACATGGATTAGGAACATTCAGATTTAAACATACCATAAAGATACTAATACTTCGGGCGGGTAATTCCCTCCATATGTAAGTTTGTAACCTAAAATATTTGTTTTTCAAACATTTTATCGTCAGACAAATAATACTACTACTACTACTAATAATAATAATAATAATAATAATACTACTAATAATAATAATGATAATAATAATAATAATAATAATAATAATAATAATTACAATTAAATGAAATAAAAACAATGCAAAACTGTAATGTACAATTCCTATTTTTTAGTGTATCTATATTTGCAAGTTTAATATATATTTTTTTCTAATGTAGAGACGCTCTTATGACATTGAGCATTATTGACTTCTCTACCACTTTTATCACTCGTCTAAAATTCAACCTTGAAGGTTAAGACTGAATAAAACAAACGCGTTCTTAAAACGTAAATGATCCGGAATAGTATGAGCAAAAAGAGTAAATGCAAAATGTGATAAGAATGATTTAAAAAGAATCACATACCTTAAATTATTTGTACCTAATTACGTGTGTTTTTATCTGGATATTCAAATAATCCAAAATTGACTTGCATCACAAGTTACTAGTATTGTGTAGGTACAGGTCTTGATTATTGTCGCACTGTTTCTGGTGTACAAATTCAACAACGATTAAGCTAGACTGTATTCATTACATGAATCCTAAATAATAACCAATCGGATGTCTGCAGATCGTTTAGCGTAACTACATATCTCCAATCTTTATCTTAACTATTTCCTTTCTAAAAATTGGGCCATTGTGATGTCTTTAGGGCTTCTTTATTTTATCTCCTGTTTGTGTTTGCCGTGTCGAGGCCTAAAAAAGTCGCCTCGTTCATTCAGTTAGGGACCTTGAAAATCCTTCAGTATTTCAACATCATTGTTTGTGTTTAAGGTACTTTTAATTCTTTCTGTTCCCTTTTCCTAGCTAAGTGGTCCAGTATACCTCAAATTAATACTATTGAACCACCCTTAGGATACGTAGGATACGTCGCCTGTTTTTTACATTTAGTCTTTTGACAGCTTATCTGCGATTTGCAGGCTCATAACATCTGATCCTCTTTCAAAATTCCATTTTATTTAGTTTCGCCTATTGTTTTCTCATTTAATGCCACGCATGTTATTATTTTTTGGACCACACGCCGCTGTTCATGGAATGGCACTGACGTTTGACATTAAATATTCTATGATGACCGCCGTATGAACACATTAGCTCATGTTTTTAAATTCATAATTTTATCTTTCACTTACTATTCATTTAAAAGTGTTTAATTCTGCTTCAAAAGGTTTAAACGGGCGTAAACGGCGTAAACGGAGTCTTGCACTTTCCATTACCGTCCATGAACAGGTTCAATTAAACCGAACCTGCCACATTTACATGTTTGCCGTTTTTGACGTTTTTGTTTGATAAAATAAATGTCATTATGTAACTAAAATCTTGAACAGAAAATATAAATCCTTACCATTTCACATTTACATAAGTTATAATAATAATAATGTCAAACAATTTATGTTTGCCTTTTATGATTTTTGTTATAGGTATTTATCATTCGAACAACTTTAAATCTGTTGGACAGTTAGTAAATCAAATTGTATGTACATTTTATACGAGTATTTGAAAAGGAAACATAACTATTAGAAAATATATAATTGAATACATAAAGAAAACTACATGGATACGTTATTATGAATGATTGCATATATTCTTTGTCGTAACATAGAAACAAAGTTTTATTATGTTGACAAGAGCATTAAGATACGAATTTGTAAATATGCTTTAAAACGTCTGGTTTCGACATACTTAGTTCGCAAAACATGTTTTGACAAAAGCGTCTGTTTGACCGTGTTTTAAAATTGGTCTTTAGAACATGTGAGTGGTTTCAGATAACAAAACTACAGACAAAGAATCAGGTCATGGCGTTCAATTGCACAGATAAGCTGATATCGCATCCGGTGCATTTGGCAGTATATTTGAAGGACAAAACTTGCAACGATTGATCAAAATAGCTTTAAAATAGTAAATTATACACTTCATTTGGTGACTGAATGGGAGAGAAATAAACATATTTAAATGGTTAAAAGTATCTTTATCTTATAGCTACGTATTTGCATTTATTTAGGCGTGCAGAGAAATCAGCAAGTCAGTGACGAACAGACTGTAGAAAAAACACCTCTCATCCACTAGCAAATCTTGCAAATGCTATTTCCTATATAATAAAAGGCTTTTCTGAAAAATGCGTTCTACACTTTTATTCAAGTGATGTGTGAAACATAAATAAATAGATAGATAAATAAATAAATAAAAATTTTTGTAAAGAAATAAAAAGATAAATAAATAAGAGCTCAAAAACAATGTATTTCATTTTCTCTATTCTCATTTGGAAAATGAACAAGAATAACGAGTAGAGTCACCAAATAATTGCATTTGCATTGTATACCTAAACCAATGCAGTTATTTGTTCAAGTAGAAATTTCAGTATATGTTACTTACTAACCCTAATTGAAATGTGTTATCTGGTTATAATAAATGTGGAAAATTGATGCTTTGTATTGGTTATAGGGCCCGTAAGTCTCGTTTACTTTCACTTTCGATTTACCACTTCCGGGTACATCGGCAGACTTATTTACCGTTACGCATATAGGTAACCCGAAGAACTCGAGGGATATAGAAGTTAAATTTGTTTCGGTCCTCTTCAGATTTGAAGGAATGGATAGCACGGGATAAAAAATGCAGGTAGGTCAATTATCTGACGGAAAAAACGAGGGATTTATACAGTTTAATAAAACTAGTTTATTTTCGGATAGTGACAATTGTTTCGGATGTTTTGTCAAGGTAGTGAACTCTAGTTGTTTAGCTTTTAGTATTGTTTTAAAACTACTGATGTGAGAAATTAATTCAAACCATTTTAACTTATTGAAATAAACAATGGAGAAACACTTTAATTCTAGTGTATATTAAAGTTATACAAAATTCGGACATAGCACAGTAATTCGGATATTTTTTCCCTTCCATTTTATTCTTGTTCCTTTTTCAATTATATATACATGTTAATATGGTACCTAGCAAATTTTGATTGAATTAAAAAATATAATATTTGATTAAACCATTTCAGATGTATAGACAAGGAGGTATATGACAAGTATAGAATATACAGTTGTTCAATATGGACCATTAATCAACTGTTTGCACTGCCTATGATCCTGAAATATCTATACATCAAAGGTAAATACATGTAAAATAATTGATTAATTTTTAGTTGAGATCGAAAAGATAAACAATTATCAAAATATATTATTATAATTTAATAACTTTTGGATTTCACTGCATGATAATTGATAAGTAAATAAAACATTAAAAATAGTCATGTTTCACATTCAAGAAGATCAATATTTTTGACTGTTATATATTATGTGTTGTTGTTTATCTTTAATGTTTATTTACTTTAAATATGAAATTTTTCTGTCAATCTGAATCATGACCAGCTTATTAAATGTAATGTAAATATCATTTCTAGTGTCTTACACTTGTAACAACATATTTATTGATTTTTCATTCTGCAGATAAAAAAGGAAAAGATGAAGGAGGATTTGTCCAAGAAGACCTTTATTGCAACTACCATCTTCCAGTTCCTTAATTAATTTGAGAATGATATCAGAGAACACACAGTTACAGTGAAATATTAGTTTAATATAAGCCACTGAGAATAGTCAAATGTACTTTCCTGAAGAAGATGAATGACATCCAGCACAAAAATCTTAATGTATAAAGAGTATGATTTTATGGTGTTTGACACTATGATCTTGTTAACATGTTAATGTCACAATGATAGAAACAGAGTAAAATATCCACATTTCATTGCAGTTTTAAATATCAAAACTAGATACTCTATATATACCAAAGCTGATAACACACCAGAGATAAGGTATTTTCATGGAATCACAGTATAGTCATATGACATTATGGACATTAAATGACTATGAAGTAAAGATTAGCAAAAATATTATATATCATCTACTACTAATATTGTGAGGTAATCATTGATAAGCTCACAAATTTGCAATCAAAGCTTTGATATCAAGCTGACCATTTTTCAATTAGAATATGATTTATAACTCTATGATAATTTGTTCATGTTAATTTTCAAAGTCTTTACATTTGTAAAAGGAAATATTCTTATTCTTGTATCAGTAGACATTTACAGTGTAAAGTTACATTGTCCAAATAACTAATAATAATTCCAAGTGCTTTCCTGAAGTTTTTCTTCCACTTGAAAATCAGTGTGATATATAAGCTAAGCAGTGCACTATAAATTGTGTAAAAATAAAAGTTTATTAAACTTATGAACTGTTTTTTTGTTTCTACTATTTGGCATATATTTATAGCAGTGCTTGATCATAAGAGTTCATCTGCAAAATAAGTGTCACTGTGTACTTTAATTCTCTAACAGCACTGGCTAGATTGCTTGAATATGCAAGCATTGACTATATTAAATACTATGCATGTCATTTGAATTTTGTCTGTCCTGAAATCGAAAGACACTATCTAAATAATATTGATGAAAAGTTCTTGACAGCTCTTCAATGACTACATTTACACATATGTACATGGACAGAAGTTAAAAGCATTGTGTGGTGTTTTTTTGTTTGTTTTTTTTGAAACATTGACAATTTTGAAACAGTTCCAATGGGTATATTAATGTATCAGTGATGTAATTGTTTTGTATCAAGTGCAAACCCTAAGTTTTGCATGTATTGCATAGACAATTCACTTTTGGTCAAATGTCAACAGGTTCAATACATTATAAAACAGGTAATTTGAAACCCAAAGAAGTATATGGTATGTAATAACTACCCCTCTGATACTAAAATCTTCAAGGAATGCAGAATTGCAAGTCTTCTCCAATTAAGAGACTTGGGCAAGCTAGTGTTTTGCTACCGAATACTCAACACAGATGAATTGCATTAATATTGTTTACTCTGGTATTACTACCTGCCATGTACAATGCAAATCATGGCTTTTCTAAGAGCAGTGAAAGGCTATAACTGGAAGGAATTTTACACATCTTGCCTCAGAAACAAGTTTTTCTTTGAGATGATTTTTATGATATTTAAATAATGGTTAAAGATTACATTTCTTTTACAATTGCAGTGATCATGGTGATAATATGAAATGAAACTCAATCAAGATAGAAACATTTTAATGCTGAACATTTATCTTTTTACCATTCCTGTTAATTTACAAGTCTATTTATAACAAATTTATCTTAACTGTTTTGAAACTACATGGTGCCTGGTTGAAACTGTTTTGGGCAGCCATTTGCAGAAGATAAATTATCTTTGAATAATTAAGTTAATACAAAGTTACAAATGACAGGTTATTTATTTCTAATAAAGACAGGTTATTTATTTCTAATAAAGACAGATATTTTGTTAAACATTTTTACACTGAGATCTATCTTTGAAGTGTCTTCAACCTTAGTTTTTATTAGAATACAAACATTCAGTCAGACAGTTTACACAAGACATGGAGCTTTAAGAAGCTTTAATTCAGTCAAAATCAGTAATGGACTGCCATGTCTCTACCACTATGTACTCCAAGACTGTGTATGGACATTTCCTTTCAACTATGCCTGGTGGTATCACTATTTGATTTCTAATCTGATGGTGAACACTCCAAAATAAATCAAGAGCCATGACAAGTACTCAAGATCCAACCATGAAATCACATACCTGTATATAAAGAAAATTTATCATGAGTTGAAAGCAATAATAATTGGTCAGCTATAAATTTCAATCATTTTCTTATTGTCATGAATAGAAAATAATGTTGAAAAGGAAGAAACACTTCTTGGTGTCCTAGTTTTTGTAGATTTGCATTGACAACTGATCTTTAAAAAATGTGATAGTGACTAAGTTCTTTTAACCATTTACTGAACATGATTTAACTAAAAAATATGACCCACTTACTTGAGAAAAATACTTTAAACAGTATTTAACATGAATTAACTACATATGCCATACTGTTTGTTTATTTAGCTACACTGTAATTATTTACAAAAACGAGAACATTATATGTTATACAATAATATTTATTTTTGATTAATGTAGTTTAAGTAGCTTTAAGTATATATTTCGTACCAAAACGATTTTACAGTAGAGCATGCATGTGTATTTACAATGGATACTGACGTCTTTCGTCTCACCACTGTCCTCAGTCAAAATATCTACAGGAGCAAAATATTTTAGTGAATTTTATGACAATTTATAATTGGTTATATACAGCTTGACTGTTTGTGCTTTATAAAGATAATAATTATAAATAAATAATATTTTCAGTTGGAAGACTAAAACACACTTATAATCATATTGAAACGTTTATCCGAAATATGCGCTGTCCGAAACTTCTAAACGTTATATACTTCTGAGAGATAATCAGGTAGCGCTATAGAAAATTGATAAAATCAAATTCACCAGTCTGGTGTCAGATGCGAATGATGTTGTATCAAAAAACAAATTTATTAGATTTACATGGAAATGAAAATATTACAACATTTATTGGGATAAACTGAATTTGAAATGACACACCCACCTGAAGATTATACGAAGTTGTCTTTCATTGATACTTGTTCACAAGATGAAACCATTTGCATTTCGTTACAAAACAAAAAACCAATTTCCACATATCATTTGCTTTTCCATGTAAGTTTTACTTTCCCACCGGCATACAAGTATTACCCAATATAGATAAGCAATGTTGTTGATATTTGTTTGTACCCGGAAGTGCAAAATATCGTGAAATCTCGCAAGTCACATGACGAGACTTACATACCCTATTATATGTGTATAGGATAAATGATTGGTAAACATATATCTTTATAAATATCTTGCAGATATTGGTTAATCAAAATAATTTCGCAGGACGTACAGAAGATAATGTAATCATGTGTATTGCCTTTATTACAGCTAATGGTAATGAAACGACCACCATATATTTTGCAGAATATATAAGAGAAATATCTGAACTGTAATATTTTTTAATGAGTATTTCACAGATGGATAACAAGGTAACAATGTTAATTTCTAAAAGTTTAAAATAACTGTAAGTTACTATTTTTGCAAATTCTTATAGACGTTAATGTATTTTTTCCTCAATATTTCAGTCATTTCTGAATAAACATGCCAGAGTTGTAAGTTATCTTCATCGAGCATCATTAGAAAATATACTGTTTAAACAATTTTTTTAAACTTACTTTTTGTTCGTGAAACTCTTGAACATACATGATAAACATAAAATCGTGCTTTAATACATAATACGGCTTTGAGCTTTTTTCTAAGAATACCGACCAGGATAGTATCAAACTAAGCTTGCAATTGGGTGTGTCGGATGCATAGCAAGTTGTTTTAAAATGCTGTATTTTTTTTTAGAAATACTTTTAAAATCGTAAAATTAAAAGCTTATGTTTCTGAACTATGGTAATTGATTTGTGCCATTTGTGTTTTCGCCACGCGACCACACCAAGCAAAACGTCGAGTTTAAATGGCGAGGGCGCGGAGCGAAAAAAAGGTTATAAGTGGGTGGCGTGGGCGAAATTTAGTAAGGAAAACTTCGCCCGCGTGGTCGCGGAACGAGATTTAAGAAATAAATCGGCGTGGGCGCGGAGCCCCGACTGTTTTAACTTGTTAATTCTCGACTTATTGCTTGGCGGGAACGCGGGGCGAACATACTCATTTGAGGGGGCGCACGGCGAAGTTTCATCTATTGAACTTCGTCCCGCACCCCTCTAATAAACTTGTTTTCGCTCCGCGACCCCGCCGTTTCAACTCTTAAATTTTGCTCCGCGCCCCCGCAGGGCGACCTTTTGGTTACTAATCTTCACCTCACGCCCCCGCTAATAAGCGTATTTTTGCTTCGCGTCCCGCCATTCTTACTTCTTAATTTTCAACTTTTCGCTTCACGGGGGGGGGCGC